CAGCAAACAAGGACACGCGGATGGGTGAGACTCAGACGCTCTTACAGACAACAGGACACAAAGAGCTGCTGGTCACAGCGACCGGGACCTGGATGGACACGGCACCTGGTCACAGCGACCGGGACCTGGTGCACACGGCTCACGGCCGAGCACCGCAGCTGCGTCTGCCGGGGGCTCCGGGCTTCGCAGGCAGGAGGCTGGGTTTGGGTCCTGACCGGGAGACTCACTGGCTTCCTGGCCTTGAGCCTGGGCCTTAACCCTCTGAACTTGGGCCCCTTCTTGGTAAATGGGGGTAACAACAGTACCTCCTCACAAGTGTGTCATGAAGTAAAGTAAAATAAGGCACATAACTCCTTCGCACAGCTTCTGGCACGCAGGAAGCGCTCAATTAATAGTTTAAAACATACACATGAAAGTGAGTGCTAGCGCAAGCACCAGAGGTCTGGGTTTGACAGCCACTGTACGAAACCAGCACCAGAGGCTACGTTACATTGCTCCCCATTATTCCCCTCTCCTGGAACATAATCAGGAGAACAGGACACTCAATAAAACCCATAAACTCGAAATACGGAGACCTGCCTGGGCAGGAGGGAAAGGCCAGGAGGCAGTTTCTCTTCCAGTGCGAGAGGCCGGGCACTCTCATCGCGGAGGCGGAGGAGCAGAGCAAGTCCGACGAGCTCGCCTTTGCACACCGCTCTCTGGGACTTGAAATGAGCCAGGTGTGCCGGTTAGGAAGCGTCAGGGTGGGGCCTGTAAGTGCTATGTGTCGATTGGATTAATGATATTAAAGGCAGCCAGGCCAGTGACAGTGGTCCTGAGAGCCCAGGCATGTCAGAGCTCTGTGAGGGAGACGGACTGGTTCGTTAAGAGCCCGGGCTTTGATTTTGGGAAGACCCGAGTCTGAATCCTTTCCGTGTCACTGAGCCCCATGACCTGAGCCACTTGGCCCCTGAACCTCAATGTTCTCATCCATAAAATGGGGATGAATAACACCACCTGCTTCCAGGGAAGGCCAGGACTCCAGGAGCACAGCATACTTTATGGGCCTTTATATGCCTGGCGCCCATAAAGGCCCAGTAACCGTTCCCTGTGGTTATTACTAGTGTTAGGAGGGAACCAAAGAACACGGAGAGAAAATAACGGTGGATCCTGCAACCGAATAGAAAACACTAGTGTCCAAAAGGCTCAGATTCCGTCTCCTTGGGGGAAAATGAAACAAGCCCTCGTGTCTGCACTGCACTCTGCGTCACAGCCCTAGGCCCAACTCTGATGCTAAACGGCCTAATTATGATTAATTACCTAATTAATATTAATTGCTGGATCCTCACAGCCACCTCCCAGGTAACAGAACTCAGCTCAGAGTGTTAAGTGACCCGCCCAGGCTCACACAGGGAGTCAGAAGTGGTCTGAGACGTGTCCCATCCCACCTGGCTGCTTCCATCCCTGCCGATGACACCTAGAAGCGGCAGCCAGTTCTCAGGGGCGGGTCCAGCTGGCTGGGCGGCCCTGTGCACCATGAAAAGCAGGGTCCGGTGCTCGGGATCGCTGGTTTCTGAGGCAAGATCCAAAGCAGTGCTCCTCACCGAGGTGTCCCTGCGATCACCCCGCGGAGCCCTTTTTCAAAATACACATGCCCGGTCCCCTACCTACCACCACACCTGCCACTACCGAGTCTCAGCAGAAGGGCAGGACCAGGAATCCATCAGAGCTGCTACAAACAACAACAAACCTCCCCAGGGAATCTCAAGACAGGACAGAGGTTGAAAATAATTACTGGAAAATGGGGGTTTTCCACCCTTTCTCCGTCTCCCTCCAGAATCTGAGAGCGGCTGAGTGCTTGCTGCGGACTGATTCCGTGGGCACAGGAGCGGCTTGGGAGAAAGCCCGGGGGAGTCTCCTTTGCCCACCCTGGCTGAGAACCACTGTTCCCGACAACAAGGCGTCAGTCCAGAGAGGAGACAGACCAGGACGCACGCTCTCGCTCTGACCCAGGGAAGCGGTGGCTCCGCAGATGAAGGCGCCTAACTACACGGGGTGGAACCGGCATTCCCACGGCTCGCAAATTAGCACAGGCCTCTATTTACCGGAAGACAGTCCTGATATACGGAAGAAAAAAGGAGTCATGTGGCCTGTCCAGTTTTAGTTAAAAAACAAGATATCTCCCTATCTCAATCAGTCTATCAACAGAAAATAACCCAGAGGGATTAACACCAAGATGCTTAAGAGTTGTCATGAGGGATGGTGATAGTAGATGATTTTTTTTTACTTGTAATCTTCCAGTATTGACTGTATATATAATAAGCATAGTTACTTTTAAGAGATTTTTTATTATGTAAAATGCCAATACATTCTCCTTGTTAAAATAACATTAAAACAACATTTGTCCACTCCTGGACCTTCGGACCCTCCAGTGGTAACTACTCACCATTGTCCGTTGGGTGGATATCTTCCCAGCCTTTTCCTAAGCGTTTGCATACACACCGATACTTAATCTGTGTCATTGCTAATCACACTACACCTGCCCTTGTGTAACTTGTTTTTCCACTCAACAGTGGGTCCTGATTATCTGTCCACAACAGCCCACACAGATCTATCTAGTGCATCATTTTATGCTTTTGAATTTTTCAAAAATTAATAAGTGAAGCTAATTATATGAGGTCCAGAGAGAAAACACCCCAGAGTGGCTGGCTCTGGCTCCCTCGGAACAGCTTAGATTCACAGTGGTCGGCAAAATACCGACTTCTGCGCATGGTCCACGAAGTTTCAATCGCACTGTACATGCGCGCCCGCACGTGGTATTTTGTGGAAGAGCCGCACTCAAGGGGCCAAAGAGCCGCATGTGGCTCGCGAGCCGCAGTTTGCCGACCACTGGCTTAGAATAACTGCCCAGCCTCGTCTTATCCGCTCCCTTCAGGGCCCAGCTCCGCCCACGCCGGGTTCCTCCTCTTGCACTTACCCAGGAAGCTGGTGTCCAGCAGCTGGAGCCTGGCCACATCCCAGGCCCTCTGGATGCCGATGTTTGGTAAGTTGAGGCCCACTTTCCCATTGCTGCGGGGCTGAAGCCGGAGAAACGTTCTCAAGTTCAAGGCCACAGCCAGTGCTACCTATAGGGCAAAAGCAATGAGCCTGCGGGTGGGCAGCAACAGGCGTGACTCCTGTCTCAGGAAAAAGGGGACAACGTCACCTCCGTGCTGGTTCACAGGCCACTGCCAACCGGGCCGTGGCAGACGCTGCTCACCAGCCGTGGCCTGGGCACAACCCCTGCCCACCAAGTAGGAGTTCAACTGTACTTATGTCTGCCTTCCCCATGCAAAGCCTCAGAGGTCCACGCCAAGGAATGGCTGCCCCGTAATGACCACGTTTCGAGGATAAGAACATCAAGACAAAGAGGAGTGGGAAAAGCATGAGCTTTGGGCTCAGACGGACTTGGGTTCACTCCCAGCCCTCCCAATCCTCTCCGAGCCTCAGCCTCCACGTCGGTAAAACAGGATAATAAAGTGCAGCCGCAGGGGCAGTTGTAAGAGTTCCGTGAGATGACGCCTGTTTAGACTCCTGTGCTGGGGCCTAGCGTCCTCCCACTTCTAAACGGTGAAGGTCCCCAGACGTCAATCCTCAAACCTCTCTCTTCTCCGCGGAAGCTCGCTGCCTCAGCGCTGATTCACCCCCAGGCTGGCCGTGTCGTCCTCTGCTCTCAGAGTGGGCTGAGCGGCCCTGCGGTGGGCACAGGCCTGTCTTTTCCTCGCTTGGCTGGGGAGACTGACCTCCTCGCCGAGGTACTATCAGGCCATGCGACGAGGCTGCCTGTTAGCTCCCTTCCCCGTTAGCGTCGGGGACAACGGTGCTGTCCGTGCAGGCGGGCCCTTTACCTTGCCATGGACCACGGCATGCTCTCCATGCAGGATGACTTTCCCCGGCGCCGACACCAGCAGGCCTTCTGGCAACATGATTCGGGGGCTCCTGAAAGGGAAAGCCAGAGGGTGGACGCCCAGATCTAGAGATTCATACAATGCCGAGTGCCAGCGCGTCATTTAGAAAGAAAGGCGGCTGCAGTGCTGCGTCACCAGACGCGCCAGAAAGACCTGGGCTCGCACGCAGCCCTTCGGCTCCCGCGGGATGTCACCTTGGCTAACTCACTCCAACAGCTCTGGACCCGGGTCCTCACGCGCTAAGTGAGGACACAGCTGTGCCCACCTCAGGAAGCCTGGGGACGCTGAGGTTAAACAATGCGAGGGAAGCACTTAACCCCGCTCCATCACTGAGGGCTGCTATAATGGCTGTTCTTGGTTCCCGATTTTATTACTATTAAAGGCACAGACTTAAGTGAGATCGTGGGCCCGAAAGAACTCTTCCCGGACACGCGGGCTGCTCCCGAGGGGTCGGAGCTACACCGAAGCGCGATCCCCACGGCAGTCCCAGAGTGGCCGGCTGGGTCTCGGGGTGCGCGCATTTTGATTTTCATAAATAATGCAAAGTGACCCTCCATTCAAGGCTTCACGTGCACTGGTCACGTCGGCAGGAGAAGACCTGAAGCTCGCTGAGCACCAAGTACTACCGCGATCCCCGTTTCCAGCCGGGGAAACCGGGCTCGGGCGGGGAAACGTACTGCTTCACCGATGCCGGAAAGCACGTCCGTCAGGCTCGCGGTCCCGCCCCTCAGGATGGGCTCTCGGTTGGAGAAGCAGCCAGAGGAGCCGGGAGCCCGGCCCAGCGTCG